CTGTGTTCACTGGAGTGGCACTTTTAATTTCCTTCAAAAACTTTTCCTTTGCATTCACAACTTGGCTAATTGTTTGGCATAAGAGGTCTAGTTTTTGGACTACCTTGGCTTTCAATAGGGCTTCTTCACTAAGCTTAACCATTTCTAGCTTTTGACTTAAAATTAGAGATGCCTGACTCTTCCTTTTACTTGAACACTTAGAGGCCATTGTAGGGTTATTAATCGGCCTAATTTCAATATTGCTGTGTCTCAGGGAATGGCGAGGCCCAAAGAGAGGGAGAGACACAGGGGATCAGCCGGTTGGTGGAGCAGTCAGGACGTACCACACTTATCGATTAAGTTTGCTGTCTATACGGGTGCAGCTCATGGCACCCCAAGACAATTACAACAGTAACAGCAAAGATCACTGATCACAGATCACAATAACAAATACAACAATAATGAAAAGTTTGAAATACTGTGAGAATTACCAAAATGTGACAGAGACATGAAGTGAGCAAATGCTGTTGCAAAAATGATGCTGATAGACTTGCTCGACGCAGGGCTGCCATGAACCTTCAATTTGTAAAAAATGCAGTATCTGCAAAGTGCAATAAAGCGAAGCATGATAAAACAAGATATGCCTGTATAAACAATGTGCTGTGAACATAGTGGGGAGATATTAATTCTGTGGGGTCAGGGGGGACCTGCTCGGTGGCATAGAAATTAAGTTCACTTGCTCCACCTTGGCAGCCCCAGGTTCGCTGGTTTAGATCCTGGGGGCAGACCTAAGCACCACTTATCAAGCCATGCTATGGCAGGTGTCTCACATCTAAAATAGGGGAAGATGGGCATGGATGTTAGCTTGGGGCCAATCTTCTTCAGCAAAAAAAGGAGGATTGGTGGCAGATGTTAGCTCAGGGCTAATCTTCCTCAAAAAAGAAAATTTTAAAAGGGGTAACAAGAATGGAAAATAAAGATTAATTAAAGAAAAGAATGTGCAGTGGGGGAGTGGCAAGAGCTTCCCTAAAGAAAGGATATACATACTGGGCTTTGGGTTATGGATATAACTGTGACAGGCAAATGCACCAAAAATAAATCCCAAGAGGAATAGCATTTTTTATTCAACAAACATTTGTTTATTGCCCAGAATAATGAAGGTACTCTACCTGCATTACTCTGGCAAAAGGCAATGAGGTGGCCTAGTATATAGTGTGCTTAGGACCATTGAATAGATTACTGCAACTTTTCTGTGTGTTCATGCTCGTGTGTGTGTACATATGTTCACACATCTGTATGTGTATGTGCATGTCTGTAGTGTGTAGGGAGGTCTAGGGGTGCTGGAAGGGGTGGTGTAGCTAGGTCATGGAGGGTCTAGAATGCCTTAACTTATTTAGGGGAGAGAGCACAGGTCTACCTTCAAATACTGTCTCTTTTCCAGCCTTGATACTTTGGGCAAGTTCCCCATCCTTCTGTCCCTAAATTTTCCTATTTGGTGAAATGAGTACACCAATGCCTACTCTGAATAGTTGTGAGGACAGTCATAATGTTTGTAAATCCTCTATTATGGTTCCTGGCTTTTAGTCGCCACTCAATAAACAGCAGCTATTACTGCTTCCGAGGACTGTAGGGAACCACCGGTGGCTTGGGGAAGAGAAATGGCTGAATGGATTTGGGTTTTCAAGAGATTGTAATAGAGGCCAGATTGGAAGAACGGATGGGGGTGAAGGTTTGAGGGGTGGGGCGTAGAGATTGAGCAAGGTTCTGGGAGACCAGGTAGGAGGCTGAAGCACTAGTCGAGGCAAGAGATGAGACCAAAATTAAGGCTGTGGGATGGAATGGAGAGAAGCAATAACTATTTAGTTGGCAAAATGAGCCTGCTGACTAACGGGATGTAGGAGGTGAGTGAAAGAGAGAACTCTGGAATGATGACAGGCTTTCTAGTTCCACTTACAGCAGTTCCACTAAGCTGGATCTGTGATCCGCGAGGAGGGGCAGGCTGACGTAGAGGGTTAGGGGAATTGGTAGTGGGGTAAGAGGGAGGGAGGAAGAGGGTGAGTTCTCTGAGGGGTATACTGAGGGAGCAGAACCTCTTAGGAAGCCCCATGTTGGAGAAAACAAGAACACCTCACTGTTCTGTGAGTGTGTGCGATGGAGCAAGCAGACCCCATGACCCGAGGAAGTCACTTTTAGAATCGACAGGGTGAGCCTGGCAATTGTGACTTTCCGTAAGGCATGGCTGAAGGCCTTCTTTCTGACTGTGTCCCACCCGATTGACTTTCTTTCTCCTTCTAAGGCATTCCTTCTCAGCACAGACCTAGAGGTAATCTCCAGAACACTCCCAGAGGCCAAGTGCATTGGTTCCAATCCTTCTACTTAACCTCCTCCACCAGTGCTTTTTGCAGAACCTACTCAGCACCGTCAGGTCTAATCCTGAATTGTTTTCAAGTACAGTTGTTTTTAGCCCAAAGTTCACCTTTGAGGTCATTTCCTGATGTTCTAGCCAGATGTGTCAGGTGGTTTCCCACAGGTGGGAAGACACAATGGCAACAGGAAAACAAAATTCCTTGCTCTGATTTCTCTTTATGAGAAGGTAGCAATTGGTACCCTTTGCTGTTTAAGACCTGAAAGACAGTCCAAGCCTTGTCCTTGCTACAGGAGGGGGATAGGACTATGTAACTGGGAAGGTTTCAGAGGGGTTTCAGAAAACTGACTCTTTAAGCCTCCTTTATCTATCTACCTATCTACCTGTCTATCTATCCTATTAGTTTCAATAAATGTTTGAGATTATTATTGCTGCTCTTGTTATTTTGATAGTAGAATCCCCAGTACTCACTGTGGTTACTATTACGTTGTAAGCACTCCATAGATGTTTATTGGTTGAAAGAGTTACACTGACCTGTGATCTTTCTATAGGAAACTATTTCTCCTCCGGTCTTCTCTGAGCATATGTCACCACATCTGTCCAGACATTTAAGTCAAAAGTCTGAATTCCTTCACTTATTGAGCACCCACTAGTAACCAGGCACTGTGTGGGGTGCTGGGACGAGGAAGGTAGGGGGAGCTTGATAAACTGGACCCGATCACAGCTCTCTAGGACGTTAGAGAAAGAGGAAGCAGGAGAATTTGTCATTTGTTCAACTCTCCACTCATCTTTAGCTGTAGCTCATAAATGGGACATTTTGAGTATGATTTGACATCACCCGGGCAAACAAGGAGAAATGCTTATAATCCAAAGCCATCTGAATTGAGAAAAGGCTATAAATACTGTGCAGTGGTTCCTGGGAATAGGATATACAAATGCAATCCTTTGGAATTCTCACCTTTTGTGAAAACTAGGAAGGAACACTGCTTGTTTTGAGTCCTACTAGGATTCTCTCTGTAGATGAGATAAACGACCCAGAAGAAGAATTAAAAAGGCACATGGAAAATAGCTTTCGGCTAAAACTTTTGGGAAGCCAGCTTACAGCTGAGTAAGCTAGCTTATATCCACTGACGGTGGGCTGTACTTTATATATCCATGTCTCTATATAAAGAATGGTTTCAGAAAAATTCTGTTAGTCTTTGGCTTAATTGTGAGTCATGAGGCCCCCATTTTGGAGTGTGTGTGTGTATCTGTGTGTGGGTGGAGAGAGAACTTTGGGCACAAAGCACGTATGTACTTGTAAAAAAGCATTTGGAATGTGTGTGTTGGAAGGGAATTATGTGGTATTTCATGCAAGGAGAGTGTGTACGGAGGGGAAAGTGTATCTGTGCGTATGCGTCTGTATGTCGTGCAGAGGGTGGGCAGAATCACATGAACAGTCAGCCTCTTAGAGATCCAGACAGTGGCAGAAGACATAAAGTGTTGTAGGAGGTGATTGTTTTCCTTTTAGACCTGCACACAGGTCTTTGAGGAGCCCTTGACTTTCTCCTCCTCCTTGTCTTGTTAAAAAGGGATTAGAGTCCTATTAAGCCATTTAATCCCAAGGTAGATATTCATGTTTAAAAACAAGACTTATAGCTTTAAAAAAAATAGTTCAGTGCAAGTTGAGGTTTGTCCTTTCAAGTTGCCACCTGTGTGGCTTCCAAAGAGTGTTTTCAGCAGAATACCCAACATGCAGTTCTTCTTAATTACTTTGCCTCATACCTCCAGTCCTTCATCTTTTAAAGTACTCTTCAACCTAAATAGCCACATGCTGTTAGAAGTACTTCTACTTCTGGAGTGCCACAACCGCCCCTTGGCTTATCTCCCTTCAGTTGGCAACTCAGTCACCAGGCTTAATAAGAACAGTATTAAGAGCCAATGTTCACGGGGTGCTTAGTATGTGCCAGGCATTGCGCTAAGCGCTTTACATGCAGGATTAGATGCGCCATAAGAAAACACCCAGGGGCTGGTTTTGTGGGTGTGGGACATGTGTAGTCACACAGAGCTCTGCACAGAAGGGCCCTTCACTTGGTTTAATGCTCTGCTGTTGCCATCTTGAAATTCTTAATCATTTTTGAGCAAGGGACCTGCCTTTTCATTTTTCACTGGGCCCTGCAAATTATGTAGCCAGTCCTGAAAACACCCAATGACCCATAGTTTATTTCCTTTCTTTTCCTTCCTTTCACATGACACCTAATATGTTAATAGGGGTTGGGACAGTGAATGTCAAATTATGATGCCAGAACCCTTTCTCCAAAACAAGTGCCATTATCTCGTTGGAGGGAAATTTTCTAAGGGACAGGAACAATGTCATGACTCTTAGCACGGGAAAGCAAAGTATCTGTGAGAATTTGGCAAGTTGTTTAACCCCTCTAAGCCTCAGTTTTCTCATCTGTAAAATGGGAATAACAATAAGAATACCTAACTCACAGGCTGTTTCAAGGATGAAATGAGATCACATGTATATAGCTCTGACACACAATACATCCGACGTTAGAGATTATTAATGCATTATGGGTGTTTAGCAGGTACTAAACATCCAGTATTGCTTGTGACATGGTATGGATCACTTGCCCATCTCCAAGGTGCCCTTATCCCAGGGTTTGTTCCCTACCTGCCCCACAGAGCTGGGAGGAACATCTGCTTTCTCCATGTGCTGGGTGATCACAGAGGGGTTGCTGGAACTGATAAGCACTGGGGTGCTGATCTCCACCATTTGCCGCCCCGAGGGAGAATGGACCATCCTGTTGAGAGTGTTCAAGGCCGTCGTGATGGAGAACTGCCCGGGGCCCTTCCGCCTGGATCCAGGGCCCCTTCGGAGGGTGGGCGTGTTGACTGCTTTGCCTCTGGAGGGTGAGGCCACCAGGGACAGGTTTTTTGTGCGGGATGACTGACGGCCTTTGTTCTTCTCTAAGAGGTGTCTTGCAGTGAGGTTTGGCTGAAAAGACAAAAGGTCCCATAAGAAGTTAATCTTCTGATCTAATGTGTGCAGCTAAGTCCCACCCAGGCTAGCCCGAAGTCAGTTCTGATGCCACCAACTCAGTCGTCACTCCTTGGTCTGCTTCTATCTTTTATCAATATGTCCCAGTTACTTTGCCATATCAATATATTTTTACAACTCTCTGCAAAATAGGTACTACCCTTTTACTCTCTTATTGAGGTCCAAAGGGGCTAAAAATAAGCCATGATACTCTTCCCCCGATCCTGAGCACTCGTCCTTTACCCATTTCTCCCAGCCACATTCCAGTCCTTTTCACCTAGGAGACACTCCCATCCTCCTTCTGCCACCCCTGAATCCTCCATTGGGTTGGCTGCTTGCCCTTCTTGATGCTCCTGCAGCCCCTACGCTTTCCCACCATGGCAGTTTTCACTCCACTCTGTAATCACTTACTTTCCTTTCCCCCACTGGACTGTTAGCTACCTGGGGGTAGGGACCTTATTATTCTCTGCTGTATCCCAGAGTGGATGCTCAGTGAGTGTTCGTGGAATAGTGCGTGATGAAGTTGCTCAAGTTCATATATTTACATACTGTTTGAGTCAGTATGTAAATCCATTCAGGACTCTGAATCTTTATGCTAAGACCGTCTTTTACTACTTCCTTTAAATACTTTCATCTCATCACCATTCTCTCTTGTTCTATACCTCTGAATCAGTGGTGTGCTGGTAAATCAGAAACAAAAACAAAAACAAACCCAAAACCCTGATTTGTAAAGTTTACCAATTTCTGTGGTGTAAATATCTACCAATGGTTTAACAAGTGGCTAACAAAATTCCTGAAAGTGTAACAAGCAGCTCTTGCAATGTAGTATCAGCTAGCTCTAGCACAACCACTGAGAGCACTATATTTTGAGTACCCTGCCCACCAAGGGTCTCCAGGAGCTCATTTCCTTTGGAACTCTGAAATATGCTGACAAAACAGTTTGTGTGAAAACTGTCCAGGACAATTACTTAAATTTCCATCATTATGATTGCCACCAGTTGCCCTCTCAAGCCACATGTCTCATTCTAGTTTAGAGATTCAATGATAGAGCTAAAGGAGAATTTGCCTATTTAAGAACTTTTTAATGACAATGTGCAGATTATTAAAATAGCTGAGATAGAAAATTTTAAAGAAAATGTAGTTCCTGCCTCAAGAGGGTTATAATTTTGTGAAAAAAAAATCATCAAGCAGGGGAAAGGGCATTATTAGGGCCACTTTAAAGATAAGAGAGCTGAGACCCAGAGAGGTGACTTATAAATGGCAAAGCGAGCACGTAAACAACCAAACAAGAAAACATCAAGATAGCAGTAAGTGCTCTGATGTGATAGAGAGTGGCTGGGGGAGCTGACTACTTTAGATTGGCGCATCAAGGAAGACCCACTGGAAGGTGACATTTGAGCTGAGACACAGATGACAAGAAGGAACCAGCCATGTGAAGAAAGGGGCAAGAACATGCCAGGCATAGGGATTATAAGCTAGTGGAAAGATCCTAAAGAGGAGAAAAATTCAGCCTGTTTGAGAAAAAGATGTGAAAGAAACAGAGAGAAGACTAGACTGGAGCGAGGAGCAGGTGGAAAAAGGAGACCAGAGATAGGCAGGGGCTGGATCGCAAAAGGCCTGCAAGGAGGCTTCAAGTTTATTTTAAGTGTAATAGGGAGCCTTTGGCGGGTTTTAGGTAGAGGAGTGACATAATCAGATTTATGCTTTTAAAAGCTCGTGCTCTGGTTTGACAGTTTCTCACAAAGTTAAACACATATGTCGCATCTGACCCAGCGATCCCACTCCTAGGTAATTACCCAGGAGAAATGAAAACTCAGGCTCACTCAAAAGTCAGTATGCAAACGTTTATAGCAGCTTTATTCATAGATGCCAACAAACTAGAAACAACCATGATGTCTTTCAACTGGTGAATGGATGAACAAACTCTGGCACATCTGCACAATGGAAAAAGACTCAACGCTAAAGAGGGATGAGCTACTGACACATGCAACAACGTGGATAAATCTCAAATGCATTATGCTAAGTGAAAGAAGCCAGGCTCAAAAGGCTACATCTATATGATTCCATTTCTATGACGTTCTGGAAAAGGAAAACTGCAGGAGCAAAAAACAGATCAGTGGTTGCCAGGGGTGGGAGGCAGGGAAAGAGATGACTGCAGTGAGGCAGCATGCCCTTTTACTTTTTGGGGGGTGCTGGAACTATTCTATCTCTTGATGGTGGTGTGGTTGCACACTATGCATGTGTTAAATGTATAGAACTAGACACCAAAAAGAGTAAATTTTACCATATGTAAATAAAAATAAATACATAAAAAGCTCATTCTGGTTGTTATTCAGAAGTGCCTGACTAGAAGGAGGGAGACCAATTAGGAAGTTACTAAAATTGGTTAGGCAAGCTCTGATGGCAGTCTGGACTAGGGACAATGTCTTACGTTCCCCAGAGCACCTATCTCTCTGTTGTTCACCCAGGAAGAGGACAATATACACCCTGTGAGTTGAATGAGTAAAGTTCTTTATGGTTATTCACAGCTACAAGGAAATAAGTTAATTTCTTTCTGCCTCTACCTAATTGTTCTGTCCCCAGGTGAGTGACTCCATCAGCATTTCCATCAGTAACATTGACAAAGGGCCTCGTGTGACTCTCGGTCTGCTCTGTCCTCTGCCAACGTGATTAATAGCTCAGTCGGGGAAGTTCTGCAGATCTTTTAAATTTGCACCCACTCATTTAAAACAATATCCTTGAGGTTCATTGGGCTGAGCAAGGTTCATATAACCCAGGCAGGCCCCGCTGGAGGAGTCCTGACAAGAATGGGCGTAAACTCAGTGTTTGTTTTACCACCTTTTATCCAGGTGCAATTTAACAAATCAAATGACACATTAACAAGAAAAATCCTGTTTATGCCAAAAAAACCACGTCACTCTCATAAGAAAGCTTTCCTTCCTTCCAATTGTTTTGCACGGCACTGGTAATTCAAAACTTATTTAAAGAGTTCTCAGCAAGTGCTAGTCTTAATGGAATGACTGGAGTCAAAATTTAAGTACTACTTTAAAAAGCTCAATTTAGGTTTCAAGTAATTTTTGAAAACCAGGTTCCCAGATTAGAGCAACCACTTGATTATCTTTCTCCCCTCCTAGCAATTAGGAGAACAAATGAAGCAATGGCTAGTTTGATGATAATCTTGAGGGTTCTCGTAATCACTAATTTTAGAGGCAAAGTGGTGGGGAGAGTATTCAAATGAATAATCATTAAATGTAGAAGTTTTGGAAAAAAGGTATCAGAAATAGGTGTTAAAATCAGGGGTGTCTTTTTTCCCCCCAGAGCTATGTTAAGAAGCTCTTGAAATAATGCAGGGGATCATGTGAACTCTAATCTACAAAAATTTAAGGCCCTCCCATATGTGCAACTTGGTATCAGTTGTAGCTGACCGCTGCCCTTCGAGACTTCACCATTGTCTCCCACTCACGTAATTGTTCCTCTGCAGCAAACGCTGCCTGACCTAGCCAATGGCTCCACCACTGACCTAGCTACACAAATCAGAAAGTGGGGCGTGATCCTTGGCCACTTCTTCTCCCCTATCCCCCACTTCTGTCGACCTCCTGGTCCTGTGGGTCTACCTCCTAAAGGTCCTTGAATCTGTCTGCTCATTTCCAATCCCAGTCCAAGTCACAGTCCTTTTCTAACTGAGCCACGCAGTAACCTCCTAACTGGTCTTTCTGCTTTTTTTTCCTCCCGCCTTCAAATTATTCTTCCCACCGCAGCCACGGCAGTCTTTATTTTTTATTTATTTTTATTTCAGTAATATTGGTTTATAACGTTATATAAATTTCAGGGGTACATCATTATGTATTTTGATTTCTGTGTAGATTATACCATGTTCACCACCTGAAGGCTAATTACAATTTATCACCATACACACATGTGCCTAATCACCCCTTTTGCCGTCCTCCCTCTCCACTTCCCCTCTGGTAACCACCAATCCAGTCTCTGTCTCTATGTGTTTGTTTGTTGCTGTTTTTATCTTCTATTTATGAGTGAGATCGTATGGTATTTGACTTTCTCCCTCTGACTTATTTTGTTTAGCCTCATACCCTCTAAGTCCATCCATGTCATCACAAATGGACAGATTTCATCATTTTTTATGGCTGAGTAGTATTCCATTGTGTAGATATACCACATCTTCTTTATCCATTCATCCCCTGATGGGCACCTAGGTTGCTTGCAAGTCTTGGCTGTTGTGAATAATGCAGCAATGAACATAGGGGTGCATGTATCTTTACCACAGTAGTCTTTAAGAAACCCAAATCTGATGGAGTCACTGCCTCACTTAAAATCTTTCAACAACTTCTACTGACTTCTGGGTCAAGTGCAAACTTCTTAGGATATGGCAGAGACAATGGTACTCACCAAACATTCCATATACTCCCTTATACTTCTCAGCTGACTTTAAGACAGGTGGGGCTATGTGACTGGTTCAGGCCAATGGGCTAGGCGTGGGAGTGACAAGTGTCACTTCTGACCTAAGGCCATTGCTGATATACACCTCACTCTTCCTAACTCTTCCCCAGCCGGGGAGACTAGGAAGTCCATGTGTTCTAGACGGTGCAGCTACAAGATGGCCCAACCTTATTAGTCTGGGTTCCTGAGTGACTATGTGAGCAGAGCCTCTCACCATTCTGTGCTGAACTGGTAATGTGGGTGAAAAAGAACTTCTTCTTTGTTAAGCTGCTGAGACTTTGGGGCTGTTTATCACCACAGCATAACCTAGCTCATCCTGGCTAATATAGGATGGTTTACAAAGCTGTCTGTGATCTGTCTTTCGTTTACTTCCCTGGCTTCATTTTTGTCACTCTCTTACTCCCTAAACTCCAGCTCTGGTATTCTTTTGATCCTTTGAATACATCACACTTCCTCATCTCCAAGACTTTTGCACATGTTACCTCCATTCCTTAAAACACTCTTCCCTCCGTGCTTACCTACATAAATCCTAATCAGCTGTCAGATCTTGGCTTAAGAGGCATTTGCAACCCCCTACCCAGGTCAGTTGCATGTCATACTCTCCCCCCCCCCCCCCCCCCCCCCGCCCGACAGTTCCCTCTACTTCATTCTTTGGATTATTCAACACACTTACAATTACTTGATTAATGTCTGACTTTACAATCTCTGAAAGTAGGGACCTATATCTGTCTTGTGTCTTTAGAACTTAGCATAGGACCGGACATAGCAGGCAGCCAATGAAAAATTAGTCGAATGATTGAATATATGTTTAGGACAGGGTCACACTGAATGGTTTGTTCTCGAAATTTTTTCCTGGTTAGTCTGACCACCTCCCAAATATTTTTTCATTCATTCACTTGTTAAGCTAATTTTTTAACCTGTTCTGTGTTAGGCTAGCCTGTGAAGTATAAGAAATACACGTATCAGGTGTTCAGAGAAGAAAGAGACAACTGAGTGTTCAACTAGTTGCTGAAATTTCATGGAGAAAGTGGATTTCTAGCTGAGCCTTGTAAAATGAGTGAAATTTGAACAGGTTGAGAGCATCGGGTGGGTGTACCTGGAAGGGGCCTCTGCAAGAGAAAAAGCACTAGGAGTGAGGATACAGTTCAGCAGGGACAGTGAGGCGAGCAGCCTCTCTGGACCTTTCCTGTATCCCTCCCTGCCACTGTTAGCCCTTCAGCACTGACTGAGTGGAAGGGGTATAGGGAACCCTGAAAGCTGGACAGTGTTCCAGGCACACCACTCACTCCAGAACCTGCTTTGGCTCTTATGAATGGAAGAATTGGTCCCTTCTCTCCAGCCATGCCTCTGCTCTGTGTCACTGCACTGTCCTAGAGGGCGGAGAGCACGCCTTTTACTTCTTTCATAGCTCCCCACTGCTCACTTTTAGTGCTTTATGCCTGGTAAGCACCCAATAAATGTAGTTAAGCAATAAAATTTCACTTTTAAATTTGTAAGGAACTGCTTTAAGCTGGGGCGAGGCTGAGGCTAGAGAGGTCAGGGACTCCAGGTCGTATTCTTATATTGGAGAAATAGGTAAATAGCCTGGCATGTGTTCTTTCTTTCTTTAAAAACTAACAAGTTATATGTGCTCATTTCAGAAGATTTGCAAAATACAAAGCAGAAGAAAATGAAAATCGTCTAAAATCTCACCAGCCAATGATCACCACTGTTAATACTTTGGTGCTTTTCCTTTGAGTCCTTTATCAACATATATACAAATACATGCATATATTTATAAAGCTAGTTTTATGTAGTTCAATTTGTTTCTTTTTATTGTGGTAAAAAAACACCTAACATCAAATTTCTCATGTTAACCATTCGGTAGTGTCAAGTATATTCACACAGTTCTTCAGAACTTTTTCATCTTCTAAATCTGAAACTCTATACCCATTCAGCTTTATCTTACTTAACAATAAGTCATAAACATCTTTCCACAACACCAAATACTCCACGATACTGAATATTCTTCTCTAACATTATTTTTTCCATCACTGTAATTTTTTTTTCTTTTTGGTGAGGAAGATTCCCCCTGAGTTAACATCTGTTGCCAATCTTCCTCTTTTTCTGCTTGAGGAAGATTAGCCCTGAGCTAACATCTGTACCAGTCTTCCCCTACTTTGTCCGTGGGATGCCTCCACAGCATGGCTGAAGAGTAGAGAGGGTCTGCACCTGGAGTCTGAACCCGGGAACCCGGGCTGCCAAAGTGGAGTGCACAGAACTTTAACTACTTGGCCATGGGGCCAGCCCCCCATCACTATAATTTTTAAAAATTAAATCCTTATTGTTGGATAGTTAGATTATTTCTGGGTTTTTTTTGTAAGGAAGGTTGGCCCTGAGCTAACATCTGCTGCCAATCTTCCTCTTTTTACTTGAGGAAGACTGTCCCTGAGCTAGCATCTATGCCAGTCTTCCTCTATTTTGTATGTGGGGTGGAGCCACAGCATGGCTTGATGAGTGGTGTGTAGGTCCACACCTGGGATCCAACCCCACAAACCCTGGGCCACCGAAGCAGAGCACACAAACTTAACCACTATGTCACCAGGTTGGCCTCTATTTCTGTTTTGTTACCATTATACACCATGCTATGGTGAACATTTTTGCACATTTTGTACATGTATCTTTGCATACTTATTTTCGCATGTCCTTGCAATAAACTCTCAGATATTGAATTGCTGACTCAGAGGAAATGAACATTTTTAGGCCTGGTAAGCCAATAAATGCAGTTTAACGTTCTTGATATGAGTTTATTTGAGTTTGGACATGCGAGACTGCACCAATTTACACTCCTATCAGCTGAATGAAGAGGCCCGTTCACCCCGGCTCTTGCCGGAACTGGGTATTATCATCTGGCATCTTTTCTTTAGAGACTTTAGTTAGTTCTGAAATAAGCCTCATATCAAATAGGAATTACTCTCAGGAATCACTGTGATACTTGTATATTTCTGAGTCAGCTTGAGTCAGATACTTGATACTCACCTCTACAAACAAGATTGGGAAGATGCCTACTTTATCTCCTAACTTTCCTTCTGCCCAGTTCTCATCCACTCTGCTGATCACAGTGATGATATCATCCTGAAAGAGAGAAAGTCTCCGGGTCAATATTTACGCTCAGTTTTCAGGTGGTGAAAGCTCTCACTGGAGATCAGCTTGGAGTCCCAGATGGTTTAGGAGCAAGGAATGTAGTTCTTTCATGATTTATTTATAAATTCTTCCTGCTAAAACGATCTTTCTCCATAAAGGGCAGTATTTGGGTCACCGAGACCAGAAGAAGAGTCGAAATAAGTTGGAGGATCAATGGAATCCAACAGGAAAACTTGGAAATGTTTCTAATTTTCAAATCACCAGCAGCATCTGGGCTTTTCATTTAAATTAATATGATAGAGAAATAAAGATGGAAACCATAGGGAGACAGACTTTTATCTTAGCAAAAGGAAGAATGAATTTCATTCTGATTTTGAAAAGTTTTCAGTACCTATTCAATTTGTGTGTGTGTGAGGAATATTGGCCCTCAGCTAACACCTGTTGCCAATCTTCCTCCTTTTGCTTGAGGAAGATTGTTCCTGAGCTAACATCTGTGCCAATCTTCTTCTATTTTATGTGGGATGCTCCCACAGTGCAGCTTGACAAGTGGCGCTAGGTCTGCGCCAGGGATCCAAACCTGAAAACCCCGGACTGCCAAAGTGGAGTGCACGAACTTAGCCACTGTGCCACCAGGCCAGCCCCGCAGAATCTATGCAATTTTTAATGTATCCAATGTAAAGTGGCTTTTTATTCAAGTTTTTCTTATTATAAAGGTTATATGAAGAGTTGTAGACACATTTGAAAATACGGATAAGCAAAACAAAGAAAAAATTCTAACACAAGATAGAGACAACCACTGTTAACACTTTGATTAACACATTTTCCCCCAGATTCTTTTCTATGAAGATAAAACATATATACATATAAACATGCTAATTTTTAAAATCTTTTCCAAAAACATACACACACATATACTAAAGTGCATGAGTTTTAGATGTAGACCTTGATGAGTTTCTACACTGACTATATCCACCGGACCCCCATCCAGATGAAGAAGTACAGAACATTCTCAGCACCCAGAAGCCTCCTCTGTACCCTCTCCAGTCACCTAGCAAGAGGGAACCACTGTTCTGACTCCCACATATGCATTCATTTTGCCTTTCTTGTACTTGCTACAAAGTCAGTCATCCAGGACACACTGACTTTTCACTTAACACCAAATTAGGAACACCATTCTACGTCCATACCTGTTCATACTCTAAACCTGAATATCCATCCACCGGTCTCCCTGGCCTTCCGCCCCATGCCCCTCAGTAATTTAGATGAATCCAAGTCTCAATTCATTCCTGCGTTCTACCTTTTCTTAGCATTTTCTGTCCTTCCTACAATTTGCAATGACATTTATAGCTTATTATCTCTTTGATGCCTATCCACCCCATCAGACCATATACTCCATATGTGCAGGGCCCTTGTCTGTTTTGTTCATTTCTGTGTTCCCAACACCTAATATGGTGGATCCCCTTTAGTAGTCATCAATAAATATTTCTTGAATGCATGCATGCAAGAACAAATGACTGTGTGAATAAACTGTACAATTTACTGAGAGAGCAAACAAGAGGGAAGAGCAGCTTTGGGAGAGCAGATCTTGTTTAACACGGACATGCTGAGTTTAGGAAGACCGTGAGATTCCCTGCTGTAGTCAGCCTTCCACTGCCCTCCAGAACGGATCAAATGCTCTCTCTTGGGTCCTTGTCATAATTTCCCATTTCTGTGTCTGTTCCTTCCACTAGACCACTGGTTCTGTGAAGGTGGGGACAATGATTCATCACTTTATCCCCAGTGGACAGCTTGGCACGTGGATGGGCTTAAGGAATGAACGAGCAGGTGGAGTAAGTGTCCCAGTCTGCAAATTCCCAGAGAATGACAAAAAAGCAGATACGTCTATGTCTTCCTGCAGCTGTGTCTCCAGAGCTCCATGTCTACTGCCTGGCACAAAGGAAAGACTCAATAACTACTTGTGGAATCGAACTGCCCTTCCTGAACTGCAGGTGAAGTATCGACTTTGCAGTTTGGGATACAGAATGACCTTCCTTAGGGGACTCATTCCGAGGTGCCAAGACAATAATGATCAGTATTTCAAAATATGGAGCACAGTGAGGTCACCCAGTTTGAGGGAATCTGAAGTAAATCTCATTTCTGGGAATGAGTGTTGGAATAAAAACTTTTTATAGGGGCCATATCCCTGGCCTAGTGGTTAAGTTTGGTGTACTCTGCTCTGGTGGCCTGGGTTTGGTTTCCGGGCGCAGACCTACACCACTCATTGGTGGCCATGCTGTGGCGGCAACCCACATACAAAATAGAGAAAGATTGGCACAGATGTTAGCTCAGGGCGAATCTTCCTCAAAAAAAAAAAAAGTTTTACAAAACGAAAGACCTTTCCTGAGCTACTATAGCGACGCTATGTCTTGTATTTGATACAGATCATAAGCAGCAAAGAATGAAAATCACCACAAGTTTGGTTTTTATGAGAAAATCTGAATGTTTAAGGAATAACAAATACCAACTACAGAGAATTAAAGCAGTCTAGACTTTAGTAGAAGTCTTGTTATGTGCCCATGGTGAAGAATCATCCAATAAAAAAAGAGGCAAAAAACCTCAGGGTAATTAACATGCCTTGGAAAATCTGTTTTGTAAGAGGTTATTTATGTATAAAGGTATAATTATGTTATGATGTATGTTTGGAGTGTTTTGAATGCAATGTTTACAACGAACACATTGAATACAATGTTTACAGCAAAATGAGTAGAACAATGTTTGCAACAAGGGAGGAGAACTAGGTGGTTAGCCCTTGGTCGGCGAGAATACCCTGCCGGACAGTGATGGAGAGGTGAGGGCTGTAGTTCAGCACAGCACGCCGTCAACCTGTGTTTGTAATTTTCTGTGCACATGTCTGTTTCTCCCCCGCCTGTGTCTGAGGCAGGGACTCCGACTCGTTCATGCTGTATCCCCAGTGCCTGCAAAGGATAGGTGCTCAAAGGGGATTGTAGAATGAACGAACGAATGAATGTGTGAATACGTACTTTTGTCATTGCAATAGAAAAGGGCTAAAGATTTCTGTCAAACTCTTCTCGTTACCAGATTTCTCTAGTGACATCACTTCCATGTAGTTTGAATTATACACGGACACATTATATACATTTGCACACATATACATAAATATATATATTTCTTGCTGGTGACTTGGGCGGCCTCCCGGAATCTTACCTTGAGGAAGGTCAGGCAGTCCTGGCTCTCACTCTTGTCCTTGTCTCGTAGGTCGAAGTTGTAGAGGGCCCGGCAGAGTGGGGGCGGCTGGGGCAGCTGCTTGATGACTTCCACGGAGCTGGCTGGGAAGACCCCACTGACTCCGTTGACCTCTCCCTGGTACCAGTTCTCATCAAGCTGTCTCCGGAGGAGGATGACATCTCCCTTGTTAAACCTCAGGTCGCCGGGATTCTGCCCTCGGTAGTCACATAAGGCCTTTGCTCGAGGCACCTGCAGTGGCAAAGACCAACAAAATGTGTCCTTAGCTTGGAGGCTGGAGAGACGGAAGGTAGCATATTAATAACTAATCACTGAAGGGCTGGCTCCATGGAGTATTGGTTAAGTTTGGTGCACTCTACTTCAGTGGTCCAGGTTTGTGGGTTCAGATCCCAGGTGTGGACCTACACTGCTCATCCCTGGCCATGCTGTGGCGGTGTCCCACATACAAAATAGAGGAAGATTGGCACACATGTTAGCTCAGGGCCAATCTTCTTCAGCAAAAAACAAACAAACAAAAACAACAAAAAACACACAAAAAAATTAATCACTGAGCACTTCCTATGTGCTAAGTGCTGAATGTGATCATCTCGTTTCACCTTTCAGATAGATACTCTTATTATCCCCATTTGTAAGACAGGTTGACAGAAGCACAGAGTGGTTTAGTAACTTGTCTAAGGTGACACAACAAGGAAACGAAAGATATGGGATCTGAACTCAGGCTATCTGATTTGAACCTCTGTTTTTAATCAGTATGCCAGGAATAGGGTTTGGACTTGACTCCACAACTATGTGATTTGAGTGAGTCAGTGACTCTTTCTGGGGCCTGAATACTAATTCGAATTCTGGCTCCACCGCTTTCCTTTTGTGTGACCATGGTCAAGTTATTTGATCATTCTTTTTTTATTTTTTTAAAAATTTTTTAAAGATTTTTAATTTTTTTCTTTTTCTCCCCAAAGCCCCCAGGTACATAGTTGTATATTCTTCGTTGTGGGTCCTTCTAGTTGCGGCATGTGGGACGCTGCCTCAGCGTGGTTTGATGAGCAGTGCCATGTCCGCGCCCAGGATACGAACCGATGAAACACTGGGCCGCCTGCCGCAGAGTGCGCGAACTTAACCACTCGACCACGGGGCGGAAGAGGGTATTAATTTAGTTCTTCAAGGACCTTCCGAGTCTGCAATGTTCATTCTAAAAGGAATTTCAAGCCGCTTAGCGGTAGAGACGAGACCTGAGCAGCAAACCCCTTGCCGGTGGGATGGTAGAGCAGTGCTTTTCTGCTGGTCCCTGGATGCAGTGAGGCCAGCCCGGGGAATTAGAAAACCACAGGACACAGCTCCTGTGAGCAACGACGTGTGTCCTAGGAGGGTTAGCACAGTGTTGTGGACAAACGAAACTGGTTGAATAAATTATGATACACCCATTCAATGGAAAACCCTGTAGTCATCAAAGTTGATGATGTTGATCTATAATGAATAACACTGAGAGTTACTCAAAATATATGATTAATAGAAGAGGTTAAAAACAGTTCTGTAGACTAGATCTTCATTATAAATACATATGTATATTTTTAACTGGGGAAAAGACTACACAGCTATATGTCAACGTCTTAAGAGTGGTTATCTCTACATGGTGAGATATTTGAATGTTAAAAAAAATTTTTTTTCTTAAGTGCTTAGCAATGTTTTCTAACTTTTCTGCAATGAAATAGTTGTATTGCCTATTAAAATTGGACAGTAAAAAGAAAATGAATAAAGCTGAGGGACGAGAAGTGAAAGGCACAGGAGGAATGTAGGAAGAAGATAACCCTAGCTGAGGAGGATCAGCACACCATGCAACTACATTTTTGGAGAAGATGCTCCTTACCTGAGAAATAAGCAGGCAGATGCAGGCTAAGGGCAGAGGATTTCTGGGAAATGATCTGAATCTGCTAACCTCCTAGGGTTGAGTATACCAGGGAACAATAGTTGTCCCTCCATATTCCTTCTCTCTAATTCTCTGCTGTAATATAAATCACATTTTTCTGGGTACACGACTACCTGGAACACTGGTCCTACTTTCCAGCCTCTCTGGCGGCTAAGTTCTGGCCAATGGGTTATAAGCAACTTTTAGGAAGTGTCCTTACTGAGAGAGACTGATTTTCTTTTTCCTTACGTCTATTTTGCTATGTGGAATGCAGATATGATTGCTGGAGCTCTAGCTGCCATCTTGAACAATGAGGATGAGGGTCATACCTAAAAAGGGAGGGAAGTCTACAGAGCTGCCAGACTAGTCCTGGACTATTCTACTTCCAGACTTTTGTCTGAAAGGTAAATAAAGTTCCATCTTGCTTAATGAACTGTTATTTTGGATTTGTAAAAAGAAAAGAAGAGGAAAGAAATGAAAAGAAAAGGAAGAAAGAGTGAAAAAATAAAAAAAGAATAGAAACCCCTTTGATATTGCATAATAATAACAATATCAATAGCTAATATTTATCAAGTGCTTCTTCCCATGTGCCAGGCACTGTGCAAAGCACTCCACAACATATTTCATTTAATTCTCACAACTTGTGATTAGAAAACTCAGGATCAGAGGTTAAAAAGTTGCCCAAGTTCACAAAGCTAGAATGTGGTGGATTTAGGATTTGAGTTCAGGTCTGTCTTATCCATTCAGATTGTTCTCAAAATGGAGTCCGTGGTTCACCTGTATCAGAATCCGGGGAGGTGTAAAAAATGCAGACTCCTGGACCCCAGCCCTGACCTGTATTACCAGATCTCTTGGAGTGCAATTCAAGTGGCTGCATTTTTATCACGCTCCCCTATCATCCAAGTTTGATGCCTCTGGTCTGAGCCATATCTTATTCTAACTAAAATGGGGAGCAAGGTGGTTTTGATGTAGGGTTTGTAAATGTTAAGCTGCTTTTTCCCTTTCTTTTCCGGAAGACATTCCATTGCAAATGGCTTATGTAGTTTAATGACTACTGAGTGGTATATTAAACTAAAACTGCACAAAATGATTAGACCTCTTTGAAGATGCATAAGCTTTGAAACTCTGAGATAGTACTAATTGCCTGACCATCTTCATTTTTTCTCCATCTCCCCTCAGTATAGGTAAGCATTGTGGAAGCAAATTGTAAACTATATTTTTAACGTGAAGGTTCTTTTCATCTTCTTTCTAGATAATCCCTCCCCCGGTATTGTCAGCTTTACATTCATACTTATAGGAAACATTGACTTCCACGCTATCAAGAGGGAGGGAGGGAGGGAAGGGAGAGAGAGAGAGATTGAGAGAGAGAGAATATGAAGAGAGGAAGGAAATGAACATTTCTCATGGTTTTAGCAAGCCATAGACTTTTTCTTACATTATTGCATGAATACACTTTCCATGTATTATCTCATTCATATGATCTCAAAACCCTATGAGGTAGGTGGTATCACCCAATTTTATTGATGAAGAAACAGAACTTCTGACATGTGCAAGGTCACCCTACAAGGTCACACAGCCAGCGTATGCAGACTCGAGATTAACTTAGGCTCATTTAACCAAAGCCTTTCAGCCAGCTGAAGTCACCTAGTATGTCTTTCCATCATAAAACTCATTTGGGGCTCTGTTTTGTAATCAAAATCTGAATAGAGTGTGAATGCAATTTGCTCGCTGCTGGCGGCATTAGCATGAATTATTGAACTCCAGAGCCCTCACATAAAAGTTAAGCACCTGAAGAGACTCAGCTGGTTGATTCTATCCGGTCCTCAAGCGTTCTCTCAAGGGAAAAGGACTCCAAGTTCCACATCAGCTGTCACCCGTTGTATTGTGGGGAAGAGCTTTTATCACCCACGATTGTCCTCTGTCTCTACAGGCACGGAGGGGTGGGCGGGTGGTGGATGGGGGTAAAGTAGATGTGGAGGTCCCATAACCAGGTCATTATCAAACACTTTTTCCTGGTGCTCTTCAGAAGGACAGAGAATCCAATGGAAGCTTGTGTGTGCCTGAAAAGCATTCCTTTTCTGAGATTCAAAAGGCTACAGAGTTTTATGCTCCTGTAATTTGTATATTTGGCCCTGCCACCTGTCATCTGTAGGGTCTGAAAGCCACGAGGGCCATGCTTTTGATGGAAACATAATGCACAGAACCCAGAAATAAGGAAACAGGGGCAGCGGAGGCGTTAGTAGCAAAATGATGCTGTAGTAATTGCGTGTGTTAGCAGTAAAATTATGGCAAGGACCCCGTCACCCAGGAAGCCTTGTTTTCTCTCCATCTTCTGATGGGAATGTCAATCACTGTGGTCACATCACACACACAGGGGTATGTGGCCAAGGCTGGCCAGTTATTGTACCTAAGTCTCCCTGGCATAGGGCTTGGTATAAGGCAGGCATGTGCTCCAAACAAGGCCAATCAGAATATTGTTTGAACATTGATATATAGATGCAAGAAGAGAATGTTTCCTACTTTGGATCATGAGCCTTCAGGTGGTAAGCCTTGGACTACCAGTGGTATTATTTACCAACCAGTAGACACATCTTCCTGAATGAAGCTGCAGAAGGTAGCAGAACTAGAGATATAGTGAGATAGATAAGTAACTAGATACACAGAGCCTTGACAATAACATTTGAATGCCTAGATCCAGCTGTGCCTGAAGGATAATCAGTTCAATGAACTCATATTGCCAATGTATTGCTTATTACTTAAACTACTTAGAGTTATTTTTCTGACAATTGAAACTGAAGAAGTCTTGACTAATACATATTAAAAACCCAGAAACAACAAAACTGCATAACAATGAAATAGCCAAAGAGTAGAATTCAGAAACAGCATGAGGTCTAACTGCCAATGAGCCCTGAGCTTATTTCCAATTTGAAAATAATGAAGGAGGCACATAGATTGATAACAGGGAAAGGGAAGAGGAGCCCAGTGGAGCAGAATCACCATAGTGACACAAGCAAGGAAAAAACCGAGCTGGGGTAAGAACTCAATGAGCTCCTCTGTAACTAGCTCTTCACCACGCACCACTGACACTTGCCATTTGTTTAGAAAGGACTTGGCCTGGTTCTCTCTACTCCTGGCATTGGGTGGGGCCAAAACCAACATGCTAAGCCAACTTTTTACCTCTCTGAGCTGGTCGTGAGATTGCAAATTACTAGAGAATGGAGCCAGGGAAAAACAACCTGGCCTTTGGCTCAAGTTATCATTTACCATGTGATCAATTCTCTGCTGGAGAATTCAGGATTTGTAGCTGAAGCACCTCTGTATCTCTCTATTG